AGGATTTGAGGTAAAGCGCTCTTCCATTTAAACTATGAAAATTATGGGGTCAGTTTGACTTCATCTTTTTCAAAACTAAATTTTTTTAACGTCCTTCCGAAGCAGGCAACAGGATTTCAGTTCCGATGACCGACAGCTTCTTACGGGCAAACCCCACACCAAAAATAGTGCCGACAGGTGGCTGCAGAGAACACAAACTACTGTTTATGGGACTACATCGAGGTAGGGGGGCTGCGCCTGTGAGAGGAGGGCTGCAAAGGATGAGTGAAGTCGCGAAGGAGAGGGAATCGAGGATAAAAATTTTTGTGTGAGTGACCTATAGCTGGAGCACCTCAAACCTTTGGAGAATTCCATCACCTAGGACGAGTTACATCCAAAACACCTTATTTCCTTTAGATACAATTCTAGAATGGGAAAACCTGGACGATGGCAACTATCTTAGCATAAACATTAAGAAAACAAATTAACTCTAGACACTTACAAAAAATAAATAAATAGTCCTAAGATAACTAGGAGCGGAACCCACTTCAATTGGGTGGCAAAACTAAGGAAAAAAAGATTCTTCCGGCTCTCAGGAGTTCTGAGTCGAAAGGACCCATAGCCAGCTTTCTCTCTTTGTAGTGAAGGAGACCTACACTCATGCCAATAAGTCTATGAAGATATTATGAATGAATCAAACTTCCAATTATATCATATCGATTTGATGAGATTTGTGGATGGACATTGAATAGATGAATTTTACCTTGCATAAGTCCAAAAAGAAACATTTGAGTAGGATTGCTTAAATTTCAAAGGACATCAATTTGATTTATGTGTTAAAGTGTGTCCTTTGAACAACCTTGATTTAGTGCAATAAAAAAGAGAAATCATGATAAATGTCACCCAATAAAAATTAATGTTTAATGTCCAACATCCACCATCTTGGAATGTTTATTGTGAAGCACAATCTCTTTTAATATTGAAAGAAAAATTAAGTTGACCACACCCCTTATTCCAACTTATGGCATTCTCATTGACCATCACTCAACACCTTTCGACAACTAATGACTAATTTCATCTAATTAACAACGTTTCAATTTGATCAACCCAATCACATATTCTCTCATTCAATTTAGATAATAACCCAAATGATTGCCCACTATTAATAACCTTGTATTTGTTGTATTAATTATCACTCGACATTTGTTAATGACTAATGAACGACAACTGACGTATGTGTGTTGTTGATGCTTGACATTCATCTTTCAAATTATGTGACCTCCTCTCTCATAACAAGAATGTTCAATATATCCACTATATGTTAACAATTTTTTTTAATATTCCCCGCTATCACTTGATGCTTATTAATGTTTGATATTTAAGTGTTTGTCAACTACCAACATTTTGACCTCATCTTTTTGATCAACCAATATCTTTACATATTTAACTTCTGATTTTTCATGTTGGTAATTACCTAATGTTTGCAAGTAATAAATATTTATTTGTCACTTATGTTTGAAGCTTGCTTGGTTTTTATTAAGAGAATGAAAAAGCTAATTACTTACCATTACTTGCCTTTTAATGTTCTTTATTGATTGCCATTTAAGGATTCTCAATGATTGAATTTTGAGGTTTGCCAAATATTAATTCATGGTGCTGATCATCTTGATTATCTAATTGGCATAGTTAACATAAGAATGACAAAACTAATCATTCTTCATTGCCTGGCTTCTGAGGAGCCCATCATCAAATGATCATCAAATATTGGTCGTTCAACGAGTCACTTCTCATGGTATAATCACACACAATGACTTTTGTGTTCAAATTTTATATTATATCATTTTAGATTCATAATCTCTAGGTTTCCCAATCTATTCATTTGTTTGAAGAATAATTTTGTTAACCACACACTTTATTTCAATCTATAGTGTTATCATTGATCATCACTTAACACCTTCCAACAACTGACATCTAACTTTTCTCTAATTAACAACATTTGTGTCGGTCTTCCTATTCACCTACGCTTTCATTCAATTTAGATAGTTACTAAAATAACTACCCATCATAAATCAAATTCTATTATCTTTTCATAATCATCACTCAACACTTGCCAATGATTAATGAATGATGATTTTATGGACTCCTCTCCAACTAGAGGAGTGATCAAGATATTCACTTTATGTTAATTGATTTTTTTTTATATTCCTCACTATTACCCGATGCTTATTAATGATTGATGTTTATCTAGTGTTTGATAACAATAAATATTTGATACTTATCTTTCTAACAATGCTTGACATTCATCTTTCCAATCAACCAATATCAATGCATGCTTAACTTCAAATTTTCCATGTTGGGAGTCGTGTAATGATTGCAAGCGATTAATATTTGCTAGCCATTGAGAGATAAAACTGACTTTCTAATTGCTTGGTTTTCTATTAAGAGAAAGATAAAAATTTGATCATTTACAATTGCCTGTCGTTTGACATTCTTCATCAATTGTAATTTAACACTTCTCAATAATTGAAGTTCGATATCTACCAAATACTAAATTTTGACGATCATCATCTACATTATCTATTTACTCCAACTATTAATAGAATGACAAATTAATCCTTTTTTATTGTCATCATTAAATAATCCTCTAATACTTAACTTTCGATGACTTTGAGCTCATACTCTCAAGACAACTCATATTATAATCACACAATATGACTTTTATGGTCAAATTTATTATATTTTATCAACAAAATTTTAAATTACAAAAGATAGTTTTCTTTATAATCCTTTATTTAAAAAATATAAGATAAATTTAATCTTAACACTGCATAGGACGCCACGTGCGCATCGCGCGAATACTATAAAAAACGGACGGACAAGATGCCGCCAGACCGAAAAATAGTCCTTCCGATAAAAGGGCAAACCAGAGAGCTTTTTTCGACGATAATGAACTTGGAGCCTACGGAAAGACCGGAGTTCATATAGGACATCTCCACGTCTCCGGAGGCTTGTCGCCGGATCAACTTCCCCTATATCTCACCTCTGAACTTCCGCTTCTCATCCCAATTCACCCGTCTTTCGTAGAAACTCACCTCCCCCCGTCGATTTCTTCCTAAAATGTCCTCTTCTCCTTGAAGCTCTAGGGTTCATTATTTCGTATTGGAATCTCTTGGATCCTGAGATGGAGAGTCTTCCGATGGCGACGGAGAAGCAGTTGCTAGTCTCCTCTTTCTTAGAAATCGCTGTAGGCCAGACCGCCGAGACTGCCATCCAGTTCCTGCAGGTTCGCTTGCGCACGGCTGATTTCTCGGATTATTTATTATTTGCGCTTTCTTACTTTCTGATCGATCGGAAATTCTGTTTTGTTGATCAATTACGATATGGATGGATGTAATGTGAGGCTGATTTTCTTAACAAGTTTGCTCTGGTGGTTCGGCAGGCTACGAGTTGGAAACTTGATGAAGCTATTCAGCTTTTCTATGTCGGGAACGATGGTGGCGGAGGCGGAATTTCTTCTTCTTATGAGTTGCCTCCAGTTGATCTAAATTCTAGGTGGTTTATTGGCTCGATTTTCACGGTGCGTACTTTTTGTGAATCATTGGTTGATGGATTGCATTTCTTTTGTTGCTGCAGCGGAGTAGAGAGTGTTGCTGCCTTCAGCGGTGATGGGAGGGACGCTGATCCTGATGGAGTGCGAGCTCCGTTGCCTGTTAAGAGAGACACTTTGTATGGTGATGCTTCTTTTATGAGGTAATTATATATTATGTTATTAATTTTCTGAGTAACGTGTTTATGGTGAATAGGTAGTTACTGGAAGAAGCTTTTGAATGTTTTTTGGATGCATTTATTTCAAATTTATTGTGGAGCAGTTTGCTATTAAAAAGGGCGCTTTCCCTTTAGGTTGCTACAATTTGCAGGCTTTGTTATAGTGCGATCACAGGTGTTATATATGAAAGATATTTACTTCTGACCTTTCTTCTGAACCTTATATGCAAATGATTGGATATCTTGGGGTTGACTTTGTCCATTTTCACAAGGCTCACTATTTTATTTTATTCTTCAATAATTGATTCTATAGATCTCTTCTTCCAAGTCACACTGCCCTTGTTTCAAAGCTAATTTAAAGTTTTAGGAATAGTGTTACTAATCAAGCCTCAGGAAGTGAAAACCCTCGACTTAACATTTTCAGATTTAGAGGTTGTCTGGCAACTAATTTAAGTGGGATTAACTTAAATATGCTTGAAAAAATTAAGAGAATTTTTAAATCCCGGATTTACTAAATTCAGTTTCTTCTCAATTCCTCTCAGTTTTGTCTTAAATCCCGGATTTACTATATCCTGGCGTTGGCAGGATTTAGTAATCCTGATTTGCAGCTATTACCTGACAACCCCTTATGGTAGGCATATCAACAAGTTCCTGTGAAAAGCTATTTCGTTTGGGCTATCAATATGTGAATTGATTAGCATTAACTACTCTAAAAGAATTTAGCTCGAAGAAAAGATGCTCTCTTTTATTTACTGCACCAATGATTTGGTTGAGGTGTAGCATCAAATCACTTTGATGAAGGATTTTTATATACTTGTGTGCTCATGGTACCATTTGATTGCCATTTATAATGTCAAACTTGCTTCTTTTGTTCCATTGGCTCAGTTATGGCATCCCTAAAGTTCATTAAATAGGCATTTAGCACTAAACATTAGGTTAAATTCCCTTAAAAAATGCATTTTGGTATCAATGTTTGGTGTGGAAATGGCAAGCTGTAAGGCAATTCCTTTGCTTAAGTAAGTTGACATTTAAATGAGTAAGTTGATAAGCTTTTTATATAGTTGTTTGGTTAACCTTATGAATTAGTTTATCCTTTATGAACATGAAAAGCTGTGGAGCTAGTCTTTTTTTTTTTTACCAATAAACCCTCATTCTTTCCAAGAATGTTCGTTGAATTTTTAATTTCTATTTGCTTATTCCTATTATTTTTTCTCATATGAATCAAATTTTCTTCTTATCAGATTTCTTTGCTAAACCTTTGTAATTTTCGAAAGACTGTTCTATGCTGTTGACATAATTCTCTTTGAACATAAATAAAGTAAAATTCAAGTGAATGGGCAGTCTTTTGGACCATCAATAGATGTTAGTGGTGGTTTTTTGTCATATTATGGATCCCATATCGCAATAAAGGGCTTCATGGAGAATGGAAAATTTGCAGTTAGGACCATTAGGAAGTTCCTAACCCAACAATACTTGCATGGTTTACAGCAAAAACATTGTGCACAAAGGGGTTTTTGACCAAGTGAAATTGTGCATCTCCTTTTTTTTTTTTTTACACAGCAGCTGGATTCAACAGTACTGCTTGCAACTCAGTATTACCAAATTGATTCTCGCACAGCCTTTTTTTTTTTTTTAAAATTTTGAAGATACGTACTCATAAGGATGTTCCTCTTTCTTATCAGACATGAACTTTAGATGCTTTACTGTTAGCATAGAAAAAAAATTATTTACTAAAATACACATTCAGGTTCTTGTTTTTGTTTATTGGCTATAGTTGTGTGGAATTCAAATGATCATGTCTATTATCTTCATGGATTGGGAAGCAATTCTTACACAATTACACATTATTCTTATGAGGGACTTGTTTTGTGGTTATATTTGTGCATTGCCAAAAAAAAAAACATTCAAAGCTTGCCACTTATATTTCATTTGGAAGTTTTTGCATGTAATGATAATTCTTCCCCGATTAATTTAAAACCGACTTCTATCACCTAGGTGAGACATAATTTGAAGTGTATAGGCACTAGGGTTGTAAATGAACCAATGCACTCGATGAACAACTCGAACTCAGCTCAATTAGGACTCGATCATGTTCATTCAAATTAGTAAATAAGCAAGCTTGAACAATTTTTAAAAACTTGAAGTTTAAATGAACTAAACATGAACATAAACAAATTGTTCATTTATGTTCATGAGCAAATTCGTTTGTTGTTCAACAATTAACTTGTTAAGTACTCGACATTAAGCTCAATGATAGCTCGTATCGTATATGATATATTATTTAAATAAAATTTAATTTACTAGAGTATTAACTGGTTTGTTGATAACTTGTATCATATATGATATATAAATATTCAAATATTAAGTTTATGTGATTTTAAAGTTGTCATTTCTAGTTGTTTTGTAGGATTTAGGTTAAATCATGCTTAAATGCTACACAAATCATTCTACTAAACAACTCATAATTAAGATATTTATGAAAAAATAAAGGAGAAATGAGATTTAAGATGTTGCAGGATTTAGAGTTTTTAATCAATAAATTAATAGTTGCGATCAAATTTATAAACTATTTATTGATTTTTTTGTATGAAAATCTAGATACTCATATAAATTTTTGGCTCGTTTAGATATTCGTTCACTTCTCATAAACAAATCAAGTTCAAACACTGAAAATTTTAAACAAGTCGAGCTTGAACATTTTACGAAAGCTCGACACAAGTTCAAGTTGAACATAAACAACTTATAATGTAGCAAGCCAAATCTAAACTATGATATACTCGGCTCTACTCGACTCAACTACAACCCTAATAGGCACTTAGAGTTTTGGGCATGGGGCAGGTGTTAGGAGAACTGTGAAAATCAAATGAACATTCTACCATGTGTGGGAATCAATGTTATTCACAGATATTTTCTTTGAGTTTCATTTAGTAGGTCTGGTGACTTTGATAGGTTTGGAATACTTATCCCTCAAGCTCCATTGAGCATAGCGGTTGTATTTGCTTATGTTAAGTAAGTCAAAAGTTTTGTTATTGAAGGCATCTGTTGTGGTTTAAATTACCTATAAAACAATTATCATTCCTTGTTTATCCATCCCATTATGGGCTTGTATGCATTACATAATATATTTTCCATGAGCTGCAAAGTTTCTTTGCAAATTAGAATATCAATTTTAAATTTGTTAATTGTTCATTTTAATGTTTCATCTGGACTATTCACTAGATGCAAATTAGTAATCTAAGCTTTGATTTTACTTTTGTTGATGATGTTTTTATCCTCTTCTGGTTTTTAGAAATTTTAGTTATAATTTTAGTCATTTTAATCATGCTTATGATGACTCCTAAGGCAATAAGTTGTGCACTCTAATGTTATGACCTTCCTCTTTGCTAGTTCAGTTTGGCCTAATGTTCTTCATTCATACCTTCTTTTGGTTATTTTACATTCAATTGGATCGATTGATGTTTCTCTATAGCAGTTGCTACTTATGTTGGTTTGATTTAATTTTTGTTCCTTAAGATTGCTTGGTACAATTATATTGTTGGTTTTAGTCGGCCAATTTTTTGTTAGTATAGTTTCTGTGGATCTTTGGGGTGTGACGTGAGGTGCATAATCATTGTTTGATGACTTATTTTTGATACTTCCATGATCTATGTCAATTATATTGTTATTAAGATATTTCCTTGAATGCACATGAATAATGAACCAATCTGTTTTGCATAAGAACCAAGTCACGGCTAGGAAGTTATCTATTGGACCTTGAACTCGATCAAGATTATATATGGCTGTAGATATTTGAGGCATGTGAACTCAGGATTATTTTTAAATAAGAATATCGTAATCTTTGGAGTCATTGTTTGGTTCGATGTTAATTATTTTAGTGCAGTACATGTCTTGACTATTAAATTTCAGGGGAAGTTATTTTCTTGTCTTCAATGATGTTTAAATTTTTAATATTGGTGCATTTTTCCCTTAATTATTTTTTTCTTCTACAATTTTAATAATTGATTTTTTTGTGTGACTGAAATTTGGTTAAAGTATGTACGATTTGGCCATCTCTGATTATAATGTGTTTTTTTATTGGCGTGTGCTTCTCATTGGTCCTAATTTTTGTGTAGACTTTTGTTGGGTGAATATGAACTTACTATCTGTCTAAAAAAATTTTGGTTTTTTTGTTATTATTAAAGAGATGAATTTTTTATTTTAATTGATGGTCTATGAACTAAGAACTTTACATTATTGCGTGATTTTCTGTTCTCATCCTAAATTTGCATTAGGAAACTTATAAACCCCCCTCCCGACTACCCCCCCCGGGCCCACTCCAATTATTTCATTATTGTAGTCTTTATGTTTTGATTATTTTTATCTAGGTAGCAGAAGTTGAAGATTCTTTGAGTTATGATTTTATCCATCAACTTTTGAATTGTAAATGGCCACAATTTTTCCATTGGTTTCATTTATTTATTGTGGAAATTTGGAAGCTAGCGCATTTCTAGTGTAATGTAGCAAGGGATCATCAATTACTTCTATGACATTAATTTGAGAGACATGATCTTAATCATTAATGATGAACAACACACGACAACGTAAAATTCTCTTGGAGCCATGATACATGATGTTGTGTGCGCTACATGAATCCTTTTTCCCATCGTGTCTTATTGAGTGTCATATTTTTATTTAATTCTAATAGTTTTTTTAGGCCTAACTCTATCTTTCTTAATATAAGTCGAATCTAAAACATCTTCTCTCCTAACCGGATCATTAGATGGTCGACTTTTAATGTGACCAAACCATCTAATACGACTCTTTCTAGTATTACCACTCATCCATCTAAACATCCTCATCTTGGCAACACTTAACTTTATTTTATGCTTCTCTTTTAAAGATCATTATTTTGTGCTATAGAGCAACAATCTTATAACATATTATTAATATTATTTAGTTTATTATTTATTCAACAGTAGAAAAGTGTACCTTAATACAAAAAATACTCTTAATGTTGGATAAATATAATATTAACATGCTCTAGTATACATTAACATTTATGAAAGATAATTAAATTTGAAAATAATTTATCATGACGATGATAACTACTAAATTTATGAACAGTGATACTTAGCCTCAAGTGTTTAGCCATTCAAATCAAACATTACAATTTTTTTTCAAGTTTCATTAAAAAAAAATCACTTGAGAGTTATTATCATCATTATAAGCCAATATGGCTTATCTTTTCTTCATGAACATCATCATTATACTCTAAATCAAAATCTTTTGGATCACCCTCATTACTTTCATGTATAGTTGCAAGATCGATAAACCTAGTTGATGATTTCTTCTTCTTTTATTTTGTTCGTTGTTTCTTTCATGAACACCATTAGCTTTTTGTAGTCGTGCTTCATATCATTTCTTTCTCACAAATAATTAATTCATCATAATCATTTGACCCTTTTGTTTTTCTATTAATCATAGATTAATAGAATATGCTTCATTTTAAAAGAAATTGTGTCAATAATGTGATGTTGTATTTTTGAATCAAGGCCTTATCATATTTGACATAAACCTAATATTTTAGAGGAGCATGATGCCATGATCTATCTTGTTTCTTCTTTTGCTATGAAGTTGTGAAAAAAAAAATATAAAGATTACCAAATTATAAAGTTTCATGCTAATAATTGATATATAGTTTTATATTTGTACTTGTATGTTCAAATACACCCTAATGAACAAACATGTAAGGCTAAGTGCTTTGATTGTAAAATATTACAAACGTGGAACTCCTTAATTATATGCTAGCCAACAATCAATTGGAGTTATAATAACTTTTAGGGGGATTTACATACCTTGCACACAAAACATTGGAATTTACATGTTGCTCTCAAAATATCAAAATTTAATCAAAACTAACATGTATAATAATCCTCCGCCATAGCAGGCAGATTCCTTCGCAAAATCCAAATGTCGATCTCACCCTGCTGCCGGCCTTACTGTCATTTCACAAAGTTCGACCTCCCCTTCGTCTTCTCTGAGCTCTCGAAGTCCAACCTAGCTGCCTATGTCGACACTGACCTCTCAAGTGTGGGAATAATGCTTATTGCGGTATCAATTTCAGTCAGGTTTTAGCTTTCATCGCAACTTATAGACTCTAAATCGTGCATCAAATTGTCTGACGAGGATTCTTAGCTAGATGTTGGAGCATCCTAGGACTTTGTTTGTTCATGGAGATTTGTTTATACTTTCCCGCATTTGCGGTACAATGTTTCACCGGCTCCTGAAGCAAAAGCGGATGAAGCTTGAATGAAATGGGAGAAAATGCACCAAAAAAAAAGCTTGGATGAAATGATAGAAAATTTGCCTGAATAATCTGCAAGTAAATGCTTCGTTGCCTCTGAGATCGCCAACCCATCCACTCTGACAATACCACTGTTCTCGCTGCCGTTAAGAGAGCTAACAGATTTCTAAATGCGTAAATAATGAAGTGTCGGTTTGGAATAGGTCAATTTTTATGTTTTGTGTGCTATGTATGTAAATCCTCCAACTATTACTATTATTTAAATATCAAAATATGATTATATAGTAATTATATTTTATATTTAAAAACCATATTATTTGGTTTCCATATAATTCTTCATATCACAGTTGGAGGAATCCTGAAAAATACTTTACTACTAATGTACACTTTAAACTCATTGTTGATTTTATATTCTTCATCAATATTCTTGGCCAATCTTCCTATACATGCATATAAATCATTAGCTACATTTGCAAATTTGGTGTTATAAAAAAAATTATTTAGGATTTAATGGACAATCAAATACAAAGGTTGATTAATTTGTGCAATCCGATCTTCTAAAAATGATTTTGATAAAGTTGTTTAAAATAATGTTTCACAATTTCTTTTTGTAGTTTTCTTTCCAAAATTAGCAAGAAGCATAACACTATAAAAAAACCTGCTTATCATCTTTATACTGCTGTACAGTAAAAATAAAGATTTTTGGGGGGAAAGAATTTATAGGAAGAGAAAACTTTTGGAAATAATAGGTTGGAAGATCATTTACTTGCAAGCAAAATACTTGTCGTTTTGATGTTCTCATCTCCAAGCCCAAGGCGCTTATTTCTTTTTTGTGATTTTATTGGGAAGGAGGAGTTTGGGTTGAGATAAAATGACTTCAACAACTTTTGTAATTTTGAGTGAAAGCTAAGGGCTTTTTAACTCTTTTCTCAAATTGCAGAACATTCTTCTGAGATGTGAAAGCTGATGGACGAGTATGCTTGGCAAAAGCAGCATGGTGATGCAATTTGGATAAAAATTCTAAAGCAAAGTAGTTATTCAAGTAGGCCATAATTGTGGTATAATAGCCTTTTAAATAGCAAAACAGTAATAAAGTTCTCCCAAGCTTGGCCATGTTCATTCATCTGACTCCTATATACCTCATGAAGTTTTGCCTATTTTTTAACATATGAGCCTTGTATGTATCGATAGCCATGACATGACCTGAATATTCTATCCTTCTAAACAACGAAATAGTTCTGTGCACAGATGCCTCCAAAATTTGCATTTGAGTTTCTTTGTGTGTGATAATTTACTGATTTTATTTATTATTTTATTAGTTTTTTTTTTTTTTTACTTAATCAGTGTTGTGATGCAAAATCATTATCAATGTGTTTTTGGGAATGCAAGACATGCTATGGAGAGAAGGGGATGCATGCACTAATTTTGAGTGGAGTCCTTAGTCGCACTGCCTCTCATTGCAATACCGAAGTTTTGACTTCAAATGACGTAAGCAACCTTATTGACGAAAGTAAAATAAATCAATCCTCGAGTCATTGTTGTTTTGGTAGCAAGTTGGTATGTTGGGTTTGCCTTTTTTGGGCTATTAGATTTTGATCAGCATTGCAGCTTGACTTGACACATTAAATTTGAAGTATAAGATTCATAACAAAAATTTACCTTTACACAATTTTGTTAGAAAAATAATGTTTCCATTTGCTTTCAGTACTGAAGTTGAGTTTTTGATCATTCGATGTAATTACTTTTTTGTTCAACTTTTTAATTTAGTTTACTTGTTTCACAAGCTGATCCCACTTAGTGGGACAAAAGGCTTGTTGTTATTTTTGTTGTACGTTTTTCATAAAACTTGTTTGTATTCATTTTTTTTTTAGTGGCAATTTTAGTGAGAAAGATTGTTCGTCTTAGTTTTTCAAATTTTTGTGGCGCCCTTCAGTTGATTTTTTCATATGTTATAAATTAATTTTATAACTTATTCATGTTTCTCTTTTCAACGTCTTGTCTAGAAATTAATTGGGACGCTGCTCAAATCTCTTTATTTTGCATTGCAGACTACAACCTAGCTCTGTGGTTGCTTTCCGAAACTTCGAAGATGAGTCAAGAAGGCCTGTAGTTTGGGAGTCAGAACAAAGTGCTGCATCAACAGCGAATGGGCCGCGTGATAATCTTGCTTCTCTATACCGCCCCCCTTTTGCTTTAATGTATAATGGTTCCTTTGATAAGGTAGAATTTATCTTGTTGCAAGTTCTTATCATTTTTTTAATTATAATTTAACAGTTATAATGTCATATTATCTTGTCATATACCTTTTTTTTCAAACAGAGAATAGAGTTAATTGTTCAGATTCAGAATAATGTTAACTGATTTTGTTCCCTCCGCTGAGCATGCTCGGGGAAAGCCTGTAATTTGAGTTTGTGTTTGCAATGCCTTCTATGAATTTTTTGCTTGTTTTTAGATATATATAATGCCATTTGTTTTGCTGATCGAAGGATTCTGACCTGAAACTATTTTCTTTTGCTTTTAGACTTTAATTTTTTTTTTTTATTTGAAATAAGATTCACAGCAGGATATAGTATTATAGGCAGATTATTTAGTTAATTTTTGCTTGTATTGTTTTCTTTTATTTTTGTTACTACCAATCCTTTTTTTGGATTTTTTTTTCCATTTGGGCTGGGTTTGTGCTCAATCTTCAACTTTTCTGATGGCTGATTTTAAGAGAATTTATAATGCTGGGGAAGTGAGATTTATCGTTATATTCACATGTTCAGGAGACTAGATGATAACGGAACTAGTAGGAAAAATAGTGGAAACACAAAAGCATATTTTCATTAATAGAAAAATAGGGTTACAACTTGACAAAAACTGAAAATTTCAACACCGGCATACATGGCACAAGCAAACTCTCTAAATATATTCCAATTGGCGGTGAAGGTCGGCTAGAGGCATAAGAACAATTGGAGGTATGATGGTAGCCATGGGATGCGGGCGATGGCGAGGGAGAGGTGCAGAACTGCAAAGGCAGCAAGTAGGTAGGGTTGCAGTTGGTTGGTGGGGTGTTGGGGTGACAGGGAAAGA